TAGGACTCCCTCCCCGCCCCTTCCTCCCTGCCGCCCTGACTTCGTATGTAAGAAAAAAACCCGTCTTGACATGACTGTCACCCACCTATAAATACTGTGAGGCGCGATACCACACTCACCTCCGACGATGGAAGCTTGTATGTTTTTGAAACGTCAGGCCAGTAAAACTATGGTTCCAGAGATCGCCTTTTCTTCTGATTTATGTCCGGGGACGCGCATCTTCGCTTCTATTAGCAATATATATATATATATATATATTATGACAGATGGGCGCTCACCGATCAGGTTACAGAACATACTCGTTCTGTTGTGCCTTTGGGGCTCATACTTAAACCCTCGCAGGCAGTCGCACAGCGACTAGTGATATAGGTAGATAAGGTGATACCGACAAAGACAAGGGAGACCGGAATGGCCATTTGTGGCTTATTAGCCGTCATCAGCCAGTCATACCCAACCCCAAGTGATGACGGCTAATAAGCCAGAAATGGCCATTCCGGTCTCCCTTGTCTTTGTCGGTATCACCTTATATATATATATATCTGGACGTTCTTGTCCATCGAAAACCCAACGGACACATAAAAACGACGGTGTACAGGAAGGCTACCAGCACACGCCAAATCCGAAGCTATCACAGTAAACACCCGTTATGTCACAAACGCAGCTGTGTGCAAACTCTCTACAGTGAGCGCTTCATTTTTCTCAGCGAACTGTGCAGGTGCTCAACTAGTCTCCTCCTTCTTCGCTTACTCAAGCTTTTGCCTTCATTCGTGGCTCTCAGTTCTGCAGTCAGCCCCCTCTGTACACCATGAGGACTCACTTCTCCTGTCCGTTAGCGATCTTCCAGGCCACGACTGATTACGTGTCGCGACAGGTCTAGGTGCGTCGGACCTTTTGCGATGAGGAGTGCACTGATGTGGCGTAAGGATGGATTCCCTACTGTCGGCCTCAGCGTCTCTTCCTGCACCAGTCGACCGTATGAGCCTTTCCACCAGCTGGTGATGGGAAAGGAGACAGACTACTGCGGGGGGGGGGGTAATTTGTGCACGCCGCAGCATGTTCTCTTGACCGTTACGGGGGTGAGATTGAGTCGACGACAGAGGAACGCAAAATGTACAGTTCCGTAACTGGCGAAACGCGCTGGAAACCCGAGGATGGTTGCGGCATTCGACGTCCCGGTGCCTCCGAAAACTAATGCGTACATAATCTCCGACTACTGAGGCGGCAGAAGAGCGTCGTGACGTGGGCTCGACGGTCTTCCCTGACCAGAAGGGAAACACCAACTGGAAAATCACTATGGTAGGGGACGTTCACCGATCATTCTTACGGAACTCGCTCGTTCTGTTGTGCCTTACGGGCTCTCTCTCGAGCCCAACCAGCAGCCGCACAGCGGTGCATGATATAGGCAGAATGGTATTACCGACACAGTGGCGCGAGTTCGAGCCCCAGGTGTTCCACATTTCGGGGCTGGGCATGACTGGCTGACGACGGCTAATAAGCCAGAAATGGCCATTCCAGTCTCCCTTGTCTTTGTCGGTTATAAAATACTGCCTGAGAAACTACTGTCTACGGGCCAAACAGGTGATTGGATGGCACGGAGCGGTCCACTTTCAGATGCCGTGTATACTGGGGCAGTTCAGTCACTGTGCCGCAGAAACTGATGACTGGACCGAGAGCAGACTTTAACGCGGGTGCACATGGATTCCGGTTGGAGGAGCAAGATGATTAAACGATGACGCTTTCTGACTTGACAGAACAGTAGGACCTATCGCGGCCGAGAAGGGGGTTGGAGTACCCTCGCTCACCAGTTGGTGGAAAAGATGCATCGCAATAAATAATGCATAGTCCGTGGTACAGCGAGTGACCGGTCTCATGAAATGTTGGTCGAAGTTCTGAGATGCGTTTTCGATCAGGAAAGATTACTTAGGTGGGGTTGCAATACTGATTATCATGCGGTATAATCCTATGGTATTTCGTACTCGCCAGGACGTCGGCTTTTAAATGCACTTCTTTTCGACCTCCCGCAGAAACCACACTCGGTAAAACATGACTTCTGGAGTAGCATGCATTTTTCGCATTGATCTTCGATGGTCATATAAGTTTAAGTATATTTTATAGAAAACATGCACAAAAATATGCTTTCTTTTACTAGTTTGGCAGGAAATCACATTGTCTTCATATTTTAGGCCCTAAGAAAGGTTGTCTTTCGGTTTTAAAGTTTCCAATTGTGAGGTTTTTAAGACCATGCGATGTCCATACATACAGCATCGTGCATGTCGGTTTGCCAATGCTCTTCATGAAATGCACAACATAGTCTGCATCCACTGCAATCTTTTATGAACTCTGTATAAAATCTTCTTAAAGGCATAGAGGAATGCATAATTTTCATTACGCGGAAGGCATGCACCTCGCAGGCTAGTGAAACGGCTGATCAGGCTCAAAGTTATTCGGGAATTGGGAAACTTTTCAAAACCTAAATATTCAGAGGTGTTTCGGCAGATTTCAAATAATTAATTAATTAATCAGTTATTTGAAATCTGTCAAAACACCTCTGAATTACGTGAGTCTGGTGGATTCTAGATGTATCACTTAGGAAATCCTGCTTGGGCAGTCGGCTTACTGTATCAGATTTGGTGGATTCCATTGGCTGTAGTTGGCTGTGCATATAACTTGGCCCAAATGTGGTCAAACTCACGGCTCCCGGGGGGGGGGCTCATAGCTCAGACGGTTAGAGCGTTGGCTGTACTAAGGCCTCCCCTTGCTGTCGTGGGTTCGAATCCCACCGAGGCACCGAGTTTTTCACAGTTGGGTCAAAGTGAAAACCTAAATATACACTTTCTTCGGGCGTAAAGTATAAAGACAGTGCGATTTTCTACCAAACGAGTAAGAGAAAGTATATTTTGTGCGTGTTTTCTATAAAATATATTTGAATTTATAAGACCATGGAAAATGAATGTTAAACACGCATGCTACTTGAATAGTCAATTTTTACCGAGTGCTTCTGCACGAGGTCGAAAAGAAGTGCATTCAAAAGCCGACATCCTGGTGTGTCCGAAATACTATAGGATTACGCCGCATCCTTCCTAATAGAAAAAGCATTTCCGAAGTTCAGCCAACATTTCATGGGATCGGTTACGCAAGTCGCCAGCCATCCCGCACCTTACCAAAACCCGTAGAACAGTGTCCTCGATCATCCTCCAATGAAGGCGGTAGCGATACAGACAAGATCACACAAAATCTGAAAATGGTGCAGCATGCGAGATATTCAAGATATTGATACGTCTTACACAAGATATTAATATAGCAAAAAAGGATGAAGAGTGAGACAAAAAAGATGAATGTCAAGTTGTTTGCGTGCCGAACGTCAGGTCATTGCTAGGTAATCATGTGAGCAGGTCGGGAGGGAGAATGAACTGAAGAACAACCTGCCGCTTCGACTCAAACTCCCCATGAGGACAGTACGGGCTACAGGGATGAGCGTTGTGAAAGGTAAGAAAGTAGATAGAGAGAGTTGAGGCAAGGATGTTAACAGGTTGGGGGCGGGAGGTCGGGCCAAATAGGGACGTCATCTCCGGCTTCAGGAATCTCAAAGGCCAGCGGTGGGGGCGGGGCTACTTGCGACAGTCCGCGCGTTGTCGTCTCTCCGCTTGTTGAGGAGGGTGGGACAAGCGGTGGTGTTGGGGTGGGAGCGGGACGCTGTCGCGACTGATGATGCTGTACTGCATCAGCATCCTCCTCTGGGTCTTCGGCGACCTCCTCAAACTGGCGTCTGGGATCTGCGCCAGGACGTGAGACCACGGAGGCGTGGAAGAGGGAACGACCTCGACCCGCCGGGCCAATGTAATGACTGGCACGAGCGGAGCTGCCCCCGGGCTGCTGGTAGCGCAATTCAGGTGCGTCCAGATTCCTCACAGTTGCCGGCTCCCAGCCCTGGTTCCTCGAGGCAGAGGAAGCACCGCCGGCCGCATGGTTGTCGTCTCCGCGATGAGGTCCACCAATGTGTCTTAGGGGACGTAGGTAGGACTGTGAAGCTACGCTTGCGGCAAAACTGGACGGGGAGGGCGTTTGGACCAGTTTCTGCTGACGACGACGCTGGTGCAGTTCGTGGATGTAGAGCGAGCTGGCGTCCATATCTGCAGTCAGTTCAGTCATGCCGGTCGCTGAACCTCGGGTGGCGCCGGGGTGCAGGCAGATGCTGGTGCCAAAGCTTGGACTCAGTAGGGTGCTGTTGAGGAAGGCTCTGTCCTCCATTTGCGAAGTGTAGGGTTGATAGGGCAACTGAAGGGCAGCAGCACTGTAGAGACCAGAGGCGCCCATCAGGCTGGCCGATGGAGTCACGCCGCCAGCGTGAAATGGGAAGAGGAGACGCGGACTGTTAAGAACGCTTGAGGACATGTGGGATGTCGGGCCGGTAGCAGTGACGGGCTGAGGCGCCTCAGGCAGACGCCCGTCTGTAGCCTTCGACGAGCCCGAAGGTTTGACACCCTTGTGCTGTCGGTCACCCTGTGAGACGGTTGTCGGAGCGGTTGGTCTTGAAGGGGACTGCTGACCAGGCGATGAGGCCGCCGAAGGTGGCGCCTCCACACCGCCATACATGGACTCTACAAGGGCACCCCTGACACCCAGTGTCTCGGCAGACATAACGGCAGGACCAGAGAGGTAAGCGACATTCTTGACGTGAGTGGAAAAGTCCGAGGAGTAGACGGGTCCGGTCTCAGGGAATTTACCCTGCCCACCGGCAACTGGCGTTGTTGTATAGAGTGAACGGTACAAGCTGAGGGTCTGTGGGGAAACTGCTTGGGTGGCCAAGGGACGCTCTAGGGAGGTTTGGAGGTGCTCCACAGAGGACTGCATGCCCAGCATTAGGTCCACCTGTTCCTGTTGGTAGCGCTGAATGTCATTGAGGGCCTGCTTGCGGACAGCCGCCAGGTAGGCGCGACTATCAGGGGGCAGGTTCCAGCCCGGATTAGTGATGTGAAAGTGCATCAAACTCAGCTCAATTTTGCCTCCAAAAGAGGGCATATGCCGATAGGAGTCTTCATCATCGTGCGAAGAGGGTGGAGAGGGCTGCTGCGGGGAGAGAGCAGGACTGCCATAGGCCTGTTGTTTGTGATGACGTGGTGAGCCTGCACCATCATCATGAGCATCGTCGTCGTCGTCGTCGAAATGGGGGCTCCAGTCTGGATGACCGTGGCGTTGGATGTCCAGCTGTGCGAAGCTGCAGATGTCTCCCACACCGGCAATTTCGACAGTAAAGTTGCGCAGAAAATCAACTATCTCCAGACAGTGGTTGGGCAGATAAAAGAGTAGGATGAGAGGAGTGAGGATGGGTGAGACCAATTCCTCCAGAACGCCCACAATCCGCAGTTGAAACAGTTCCGAGAACTCATAGCGCACCTGGTGAGTATGCGCATGCTCCTTCCAGTGATCGGGCATGTAGTGGATGCGTGACAGCGTCTCAATCAGTCTGGCGCGTGGGAAGTGCACTGCCTGTTCGTCTGGCAGGAGGCTGGCACAGACCTTTGTCAGGACACCACCGATAGCCAACACAGCCAGGAAACCCGGCAGATGGAGCAACTGTTCGCGAACAAGACTGGCAGCGAAGAGGAGTAGGGAGACGCCGCCGATGCAGAAGACCACGTTGTCTGCAATCACATTGAGTAGACGCGAGGGGAAACAGTCCAGGTACTGCTGTGCCGGCAAGTAGGCCTGGTTCAGGCGTACCACAAATTCATGATGCAGTTCGTTGAAGTGACGTAGGTAGTAGTGGGCGTAGTTAGACCACCGACGACCAAACAGGGAGGCGGGCTCGTAACGCAGGCGCTTCGAGTTGGAACACATGAAGAGCAGGAGCTGGACCAGAAGGACAAACGGACTCAAACAAAGACCAACAAGGCCCGCTAGGCGCGACTGTGTGGCCAACTCGTCTGCCAACTCCTGTCGCTTTGTAAGCCACTTGTACTCAGGCCGCAGTTTCCAATAGGTGACGAAGGGGCATTTTGGGCCCCAAAACAACAGGTAGTTGAGGTTGAGAAGATAGAAGTCCGGCAGGTAGATATAGTGGTGGCTGGGAAAGAGACACTTCGGTACTCGAAATCGGAAGGGAATCGCCTCCCGATTGATCATACCAATGAGATAGTTGGTTCGGCGCAAAATTCTGTTATAAATGTCCAGCTCATCGAGCAGGGGTTTGGAGGGCGAGAGTCGCATCTGGTCCTGACAGGACAACAGGCGATGCAGGACTTCGGACCAGGTGATATCGGCCAGTTCAGCATCACCGGTAGGCAGGTCGAGGACCATGCTACAGAATCGACGAACTCCCCAGACCTGCATCAGGAAAATACTGGAGCGAACAAGGTGAGCAGCGAAGACGATGACTGCAACCGCGAGACAGATGGTTGCTAGTGGTGGCAATCTGGCCCAACAGACAGCCGGCGGCGAGATGACATCGTTCCAGTCGCTGATGACGGCACTGCTATTCATCAACTTGTCCCATTTCATACACACCGTCAGTTCGATGATGCAGAAGAACAAGAAGGCAAACTTGAGCGCCGTGAGGACGCAACAGGTGAAAACCACCTAAAGGGGGGAAGGAAAACAGAGCAATTCTTCAGTAGGGCAAAATCGAATAGGTCTAGGGGTCCAGACAGTTGTGACGACTGAGACGACGACAGTTCATCCACATCATACCCACCACCACGGCTGCCGCCGTATAAGACAGTGACCTTGCACCAAGTCAGTCCTGTGTCCAATCATATCTTCGATCGGCTTGGCTCGTGGACTTCACTAATGTATGCATACTTCAACACCTGGCCAGTCCAGCCGCGATGCACTCGGGAGCCGCCAACTGTAGTAGGCACGTAGCAGCCTAGCGACTCCATCCTAATAAATACTGTAGCACCCGGGAAATTAACTACGCTTGTCTGGCCCTATCCCTGATGATGGATTCGAGTGGGAATCCACTATTTATTCACAGGACAAACGATCTCGAACTAATCAATATTCCGTAGTACAATAGCTGGCATATATCTTGGCATGTTGGCCGAAATTCCGAGACGTGATTTTGGTTAGAAGGGATTACCTAGGTTGTAATAGTGAGTTTCACGCAGCATAACCTCCAAGGCATTTCAGGCACGCTAGAATGTACTTCTTTCCAGATGCTCTCAAAACTTGCAGCCGCTAAAGACGGGTGCGATTTTTAAAATCAAATTTCGATTCTTAAGATATTTCAGTCACGCGAGGACGCTGGCTTTCAAATGCGCCTAGCTCTGGTCGTCCGCCAAAACTACACTTGCCAAAAAATGACTACTTACGTGGTACGCATTTGTTCCATTTATTTCCAGTGCACTTATGAATTCAAATATATTTTATAGAAAACATGCACAAAATATCCTTTCTTGTACTTATTTGGTAGCAAATCACGTTTATAGTGAGATTTTAATGACAAGAATACACCGCAAAATTCTTCTAAAAGGTGCAGAGGAATAAATAATTTTTCGCATATCGGGAGTATAAAGTTTGAGGTTTAGAAACCGTAAATGAGATTGTAAGGGCAGGTCGGGTTCGAAATTATCCGAGAATTTAAAAACTCTTAAGACCGAAATATACCTCTTTTCCGGATATAAAATTTGAAGAAGACGTGATATGCTACCAAACGAGTGCGAGAAATGATATTTTGTGTATTTTCTATAAAGTATACTTGAACATATAATTAATTCGAAAGTAAATGAGGTAAGTTGGGCGGGTAAACTTGACCCAAATGTGATTAAACTCGCGTCGCCCGGCGGGGCCTCGTAGCTCAGATGGTTAGAGCGTTGACTGTAATAAGGCCCCCCCTTGCTGTCGTGGGTTCGAATCCCACCGAGGCGCCGTTTTTCACAGTTGAGTCAGAGTGAGTTATTTGAAATCTGTCATAACACCTATAAGTGGGATAAATCCGTACTAACTAAGCGGCGTTTTTTGCAGGCAGCCGGAAGGAAGCGCATTTGAAAACCAGACTGGAATATCTTAAGATTATGCTGAAGGATAATCCGTGTTATAACTTCGCTCAAGTGACCCCATTCTACTCGAAGGCGTATTCACAGTATCGGCCAACATTTCATTAAATAGGTCACCTGCTTGAGTTTTATAATTCATGCGTACAAAAAACATGCTATTTCAACAGATATTGCACGGTTTCAAAGAATTTCATAATCACAAACTTTTCGCAACCGAGAGGTACCGTTTCCTAGAGTAGAAAATGCAAAGGCGAACTCAAATACACAGTAAAAGCAAAATGGATATTCAAGTGTGTACATTCTATAGGATATATAAGTTTAAAGAGATATCGAAATTCAGTGGAAAAAAACTAAGCAAGTAGACTTTTTAGTGGATGTAATTTTTCCGGGCGGCCGGAAAGACGTGCATTTGGAGACGGCATCTGGGTGTGACTGAAACATCTTGGGATTGTAATGCATGATAACCCATTATTACGGCCCACCCCAGTAATCTATCCGTTCTCAGAGAAATCACATTTCAGAATTTCGGCTAGTGTTCTACAAAATACGCCACCTACCGTACTTATGTAAGGCCAGAAAGCCCACTGAATGCGGGTGGGGTTAAGGACCATGCGCTGAGAAAGTACTTCGCTTTGCCGGCAATTGCGCCCATGTCCGCATACGGTTGTCTTGCACAAGTCCACCCTAATATAAACATATGCAGTGCGTGATCGATCTCATGAAATGTTGGCCGAAATTGTGAAAAGCGTTCTCGATTAGGAAGGATTACTGAAGTGGATTTTTAATACTGATTATCTTGCGGCACAATCCTATAATATTTTGAACTCGGTAGGATCTTGACTTTTGAATACACTTCTTTCCGATCTCCTGTATAAACTGTACTCGGCAAAGAATGACTACTTAAGTAGCATGCATTTTTCACATTGATTTTCGATGGTCTTATAAATTCAAATATATTTTATACAAAAAACATGGACAAAAAATGCTTTCTTTTACTCATTCGATAGAGAATCACGTTGTCTGTATATTGTGTACTTGAAGGAGGAGTATAATTAGGTTTTGAAAAGTTTTCTGATTCCCGAATAATTTGGGGCCTGATCAGCCGTTGCACTAGCGCTTAGTAATTTCAGTCTACAAGGTGCATGCGTTCCGCTTAGAGAAAATCATATATACTTCTATGTCTTTAAAAAGAAACCCTATAGAGTCCATAAAATTTTGAAATGGGAACGGACAATGTTGTGCATTTCATGAGGAGCAGTGGTAAACGGACAGGTACGATGCTGTGTGAATGGACATTGCACGGTCTTAAAACATCTCATAATTAGAAACTTTTTTAAAACCTAATTATACTCCTTCAAGTGTACAATATACAGACGACGTGATTGTCTATCGAATGAGTAAAAGAAAGCACTTTTTCCCACGTTTTTTATGAAATATATTTGAATTTATAAGAGCATAGAAAATCAACGTGAAAAATGCATGCTACTTAATTAGTTCATTTTTACCGAGTGCGGTTTTTACAGGAGGCCGAAAAGAAGTGTATTCAAAAGTCAAAATCCTACCGAGTTCAAAATATTATAGGATTATGCTGCAAGATAATCAGTATTACAAATCCACCTCAGTAATCCTTCCTAATCGAAAACGCTTTTCAGAGTTTCGGTCAACATTTCAGGTCACGGATGAATCAACCTCGTGAAACAGTGGCGGCGCTCGTTGCCTGTGACGGCCAGGCTGGCTGATGACCGGTAGTGGAACGTACCAGCAAATATATAAAAAAGCTCATGAGTCATGACAGTACTGCCGTAGAGCAAAAGTTGTCCGTGTTTAATAAGGTTTCACCACCCTTGGGCCTTCAGTCAGTGCGTCTCTAGGTGGGAGGTGGAGGATAAGGTTTCTAAAATTACGGTTCAGGTACTACACGAAACCGCTCGTCCACCAAGTCGCCCGGTGCTAGGCCCAACCGGAGATTTGGACGACCACAGTTCGGCTGTTATGGTTGACTTGGCCCAGTTGTGGCTTCGCTATGCATGGTGGTCTGCGACAGCCGATCTGTGCAGCTCAAGTCATTCTCTCCTCCAGCAACGGAGACGGAGCATCGCAGGCACAAGAACCACCAATGGGTCTTAGGGAGCCAAGTTTTGAGTTGACCTTCTCTTCGAGGTCCCTAGATAGACAACGGCGTCGGATCGAGAACAGCGACACTAAGCTCATGAGGCGAATGACGAAGAACGTGACCCAACCATCTCTGTCGTCTTTCTTAGATGGCCTGATATATCCTGGTTATGCTGTCACAGCGAGTGCAGACTGCCTCATTTGAGACGAAGTCGGCGTACTTCACCCGAGAGATGGTCCTCCGGCAGCGGTGGGCAAACGAAGCCAGTCTTCGCTCATCTTCCACGCGGACAGCCAAACACTTGACCGGTACACGAGGACCTTCGTGGCGACGGATGAAGTGTTTGCGTAGTGGCAACAACAGCTCCGGTTAATTGGGCTGTCAGTCAATTATTCCAGCCAGGAGCTGAGGGACAGAAGACCTTCACGCAGACCCTACAATTGACATGGCTTAAACCTGACAGTTCGACCGTCGCACCCGGCGATGTCCACCGTGTGCTTTACAGAAAGGTGGAACAGGGGCAGTGACTTGTGCGTGAGTTAATTTACAGTGGTAGTGGAATTGCACAGCACCAATCGCACTCCTTCCTCCTCCTCCACCTGGGCCCGGTGTCAAGAAGACCGGAGACGGGGGAGGGCGCCGATGGATGGCACGGTCGAGCCCGCGCCTTGGTAATCCACTTCACGCCCCCCCCCCCCCCCCAGATCCACACAGCAAATGATCAGGATTTTAACCAACAAAAAGGAATGGGGGGCGGCAGGGGTCTCAATGTGCCCGACGTGTACTGGTCTGCCACCGCATCCCAGAATTTTGGCATTTGTTGTGCTGCGCATTCCGATAACGCCTGCCAAAATCCGATATGGTCTTCATGTCGGTTCAGTGCATACATCACGTGACTCTCTTGGCGGGGGGCACTGGCTTAAACCTGATAAAGCGGGCGTGTACGCATGCAGAGCATCTCCCTGCCAGACAAGTTATCCGCCCCCTCTTTCCATTTATTCTTCAAATAATAGCTTTCGATGAGAAGTAACTTCAGGGCGTAATCATACTAAGCTTTCGCTTTGGAAAAAATGACAAGTGTTGGACGAGGGTAGGATTTGCAAACCCCCTTACCTAGGTAGGTGTGATTCATAACGGTTTGCCTGACAATAGGTTTCGGAAGGGGTTGTGTGAGACGCGGATTTTCACTTTCATTAGCGTTAAAGTTGTCCGTCTCCAACTCAAGGTCTGAGTTAGGGCTACGGTTAGAGTTGGTATTAGGGGTTGGGTTATTCCTAAGGCTAGGGTTTCCACGTTTGGGTTATGGTTCAGACTGGGGGCTGAGGCTAGGGTTGGGGTTAGGGTAGGGGTCGTAAGGTTTGGATCGAGGTTACGGTTACGTTCGAGTTCTCCTTAATGGGCTTACGGGTTATGGAGTAAGGTTACCCATTACGAACATGGCTATTGTTAGCGCTAGGGTTGTACTTAACTACAGTCTTTTCAAGAGGGGTTTACATGCCATACTCTTGCCAAGCATCGAAAATAAGCAAGTGGTCGTCGCGAATGCGATAAAAGGATGGGACAATTCTCAGTTGAGAGCCATTACGAAGCAACGCCCAAATTAAGTCGAAATTCAAGTAATGAGCAGTCCTCTCTATTTAAGTGTCTCGAAAATTCCGTCGCATACTGTGGGTTACTTTTTTTTACCGGTAGGAGACTAGTATTACAACAAAACCCGATGCTTAAGGAGTTGCAGTGTTTTGAACAAAAAAGCCGAACAGGCGCCATTTCGTGCAACTGTATTGGTAAAAGTTCCCAGCACTTTGTCAATTTGCTTTAAGAAGCGAAGGGCCCCCTCCTTCTCCCTTCGAATTACACAACAGTTTTCTTCGACAACACTTAAATTCCAGATTCTGTAGGAAAACTACCTTTATTCACAACAGTCAGCATACCCTCCTCGCTCATCTCGCAAAAGGCACGAAAGGCCTAACCGCATGGACACCTAATTTTGGCGAGCGCTTTTGTATGTCAAGAACGTTTTGGAAGTTGTCGGCCGCCTTCTCGCACCACTTGGGGTTGGTGTTGCACACAGACCGGAGGCGACCATCAGGCGCCAGTTAATGAAGCCGAAGGACCCGCTGCCACGGCAAGGAACGTCTGGAGTCGTTTATCGGATCTGGTGCAGTTGCGGACAATGCAACTACGTCGGCGAAACCGGAAGACAGCTCCAAACGCGAATAGCCGGACACGCTGCAGCGGTGCGGAGAAATGATGCCCGCTCTCAAGTTGCGTCACATTCAACGAGATCCGGCCACACATTCAAATTCGACGAGGCCGAAATTCTCGCAAGAGGTGACAACCGCGTGAGCCGGGAGCTGCTTGCGTCATGTTTTACTGGCCCCCAGTCCATTACCAAGTGCAATGATCTTTCTCTTCCATACCTGGTGCTAAGACTTTGCCTAGGCGGAGTAATTGGTCACGCAGGGAGCGCACAGGTGAACACGTTTCCCAACGCCAGGGTCGGTGGATCAGATGGTCGAGCAATTATCACACCAACATCCAACGCAGTTGATAAAATTGTAGCAATTAACGACGCGAATGTCGGCCATGAAACAGTCAGCACACCAAGTGCAACGATCGCTGATGAAGGGGGGAGCCATGAATATTCATAGGTATGCGGTAGCATGGCGACTGCATCCTATAAATACTGCAGCCCCTTGTGCATGAACCACCCATATCTGTTTTTGTCTCTGATGATGGGTTCGAGCAGGAATCCGAAACGTCAGGCTAATAAAGTTCTTGTCCCAGCGGTCGCATCTCCTTCTTCAAGACTGCTTCCTGGGACTCGTCTCTTTACTTCTATTTGCAGTCAGCATACCCTCCTCGCCCACCCACCGTACTTAGATTGCAAGACACTGTCAAGGTGGCCGGAGGTGGGAGCAGGCACAGAGGCCGACAAAGCCAAACAGTCGTCTACGCGTGCCACACACGAGCTGGCTCTCATTACACTCACTAGACCCCGGTGGTGGCAACCCGGATCTCACATACGTGGGTGACATTCCTACTCAGAAACGGGAAAATTTTGGTCATGGCCAGCGGAAGACCTCACACAAATAAAACGTACACACGTGCTTTCAAAGTATTCGGTTCAGTTTGTAACGTTCTCATTAAAAAAAAAACCCACTCGAGAGCATCAATATTCATCTAGAGAACTTAAAAAATCTGGTCTACATACGCTCCAGGGAAGGGAAAAGAGGTGTGAGGCAAAAGCATCGTTAGATGCTCCAAGCCGGGAGGAGGGGAAGGTGGCGAGATCGAGGCAGGCACGGGAATGCGTCTCCCCAGGCTAGTTTTTTTCGACGACAACCAGCACAGTAACCTGAACGACGGCAGTTCAGTCCAGTTGCCTCAGGGCAAAGATTACGCAGGGCCGAGTAAACGAGCAATTTATTAAAAACATTACGATAAAACTAACGAATCAGTCGAGCGAGATTACGCTAAACTACGCCTCCAACGCAATTCACTCTCGTCACGCGTCAGCAAACGACGAGGCCTGTGCGTGCGTTCGTCAGTTCTGCGGACTAGCAAGAAAAAAAAACATCTCCCGTGACGGCGGTGTACGCGCGGATGGCCGCTGGAGCGGCATAACAGCAGCAAGGGCCTTCTGTCATTTGAGGTGTGCTGCGCACTTTTCGTGAAACGATGCACTGTAGTAGAAAAAAATTCGAGTCGCAGAGTCAGCACAGCCATCAGAAGGACTTCCTTAAGCGATGAAGTCAGATGGCATGATAAACAGTACTAAGAATTAGCAGGGCGGGAGGGAGGAGGCATAGCAGCACCACCAGACGAGTCGAGTCTAACGACACGGCATCGATGCGAGGCGGTGATGCAACAATCCTAACTTACACAACGATGGAGCACAGAGTAGAGGCGAATAGGCAAGGCTCGCAGACGCCTGCCTTTGGGGGTGGTGCAACCCTAACTGGTTAGCACGTCTAATCCTGCAGGGTTGCGCAATCTCGCCTGAAGCAGCTAGCTGTTACAGTGGTGCAACAACTGCATGGAAGAAAAATCGTCTGGCAGGGAGAACTCATCACCGGAAATTTCAAGCCTCTACAAACTTCAAGGGACCAGTCTGCCCGATTAATTGAGGCTACTTTAGGGGTCACGTAGTTAATAAACATTCGCTTGCTGTTTCAAAAGAGAAAAAAGTTGCGTGCATGTACGGCTTCTTCTCCTACTTAATTTTACGTAAACAAGAGGAAAGAGTGAATGTCAGCTGCAACCAGGGAAGAACCATTTCTATCGCAACCGGTCAGAAGCCTCAGAAGGCCCAGACTGACGTCCATTTGTCCGTGCTTGCTTCGAGGGAGAGGGAGAGAGAGAGAGAGAGAGAGAGAGAGAGAGAGAGAGAGAGAGAGAGAGGCGAATATAGGTGAGGGGCGAGTGCGTCACGGAGGTGAAGAAGGCACTAGACTTGACAGGGTCGTTAATCAATGAAGCCTGAGAGTTCGGTGACTCACAGTGAGCTAACTCACCCTCCCTCCCTCCCTGCCTCTCGGGCTTGAGATGTGACTTCGCGAGCGGCACCAAACTGTGTCAGACAATCTAATTGCGTTGTTCATCAGAAGACAGTGTGAACGTTTGACAAGTTGATACAACCACCGTTTCAATGATCGCATGTTCGACGCGTACCGATGAGGGAGGATAGCTACCTAATTAGCCCAGTTTGACTGAAGTCGGTAGTTCGTTTGGACTGAAAATACCAGATTATGAAATCAAAAAGTGGTGAAGTATCTGCCTAGCACAACAGTAGATGAAAACTGAAAACGGAACCTTCGATGACCAAAGCCTGCGAATTACACTGTGGACGCAGTACTCCTCTGAGGTTTTCGAAGGCTGACAGCAGTTATGAAGACTGATAAGACAACTGGAAAAAATTTCAGAATGTGGAAGAAAAGACCACTGAACAATTACGTTTGTGCAGAAAGTGGATGGCGACGGCAGCTTGATAAACAGGAATGTGGGCTACCAAAAGGGTCACGTCTGCTAGAATGACTCAGTGTGAAGCAAGTGTCTGACTGAGTGCTGGACGGCATTCTGCACACCCGAGTCAACGAACTACTAGTTTGAGGAACGGAGACTTGAAAGTTTCATGGAAGTGGCTATCCCTCCGCCCTACAGAGCCTGCCTCCAAAGTCTCCTACATGAGCCTGGAACTCGGGTGGGAATTGTGGCTGAAATTTTAACAAGCAAATTAAAAGTGAGCAAAACCGTGTTAAGCGGGAAAAAGGGGCTGACAGCTCCTGCCAGCCATAGAGTCATAGAGTAGACATCTCAGGCGGTCTACCTTGTGATTCCGAACCTTCGACCTTGGTATTCATCCAAAAAACGACTAACTAATTCGAGCACAGCAAAATCCAAACTGAGAATAAGCCACAATCAGAACTTCTAACAAACCATTTAGATGTCCGAAGGGCCTGGCGACATCTTTTTCACCCGAAAGCAAATGCCCTAGACTGGGTCAGATGTCTCTCCCAACAGCTACCGGGTCAGTCGTTTTGGGCTCCCTTGTCGAAGCGACTGTTGAGTTCCACTGAACGCAGTCGACTATTTGTCAATAAGATGCCAACGGGTCAGATCACGGTTCTGTCTTCATGCACCTGAAGTCTCGAGCTTCATCCATGCCCAACACAGCTCATTCCCCGTGCCTGCATGTCGCAAAGTCACGACAGAACCACACAGTCAAAGCTTTGACCAGTCAGAAAAGAGAAACAAGCGGCACTAGCAGGTCATCAATGAAGCCATCAGTTAAAAAAGCAACTGAGACACCTCGCTGACTGGCTCAGAGGCACCACAGTGACGGAGTCAGTGCAAGAAAACACGGGTTGGATGCTGCAACGATAAGGTTTTTCCGTCCTATGACGACAAAACCAACCAGCAACGCAGGAAAAAGAGGGTGAAAGTAGCAGCTTTCGTGGAACAGGCTCTAGAAAACTTGTCAAGTTAGCAGCAGGCTGCCTGCACTCAATAATATCCCCCTCGTTCTCTAGTTTACGCACTGTTGTGCTATCCCGCCTACCAGAAGAAATCCCTGATACAACACTAACGCCCAGTAAAACTAAAACGCTGGGTTCAATTGCGTGGCGCGCAAAGGAACTGGACGCTGTGTCGTCCAACGATTGCTTCAATTCTGTGAAACTTCCAATTCACACTCACTCAGTCGACAGTTATTAAACTAACAACTCAAAAAGGGTTGTGTAATGTCGCTTATTCTACCTGTAATCGTTAAGACCGTGGTCGTGCCTAGAGGGCGTCGCCTAGATCGCTCAACTACGTCGTTGACTGGACTTTCAGAAGGGTTATATGCGGTTCTGATGGCGTCTATATGTAATCAGGCGCCGAATAACTGATGTACTTACTTACTTACTTTGTACATGGCACGGCTGCAAACACGTCTGATCTAGTCGGCCTCCATGATGTCCCGAACTGTACCTCTTCACGCGTGACGATCCGCAGCAGAAGGTCTAGACAGTTTAAACCATTCTCTTCGCCAAAGATGGAGACTGAATACCGAAGGTCCAAGAACCACCATGTCTTGATGGACTGTGTCCAGCCAGATTTTCAGTTGACCCCTCTTGGACACATTCAATAGTTTAATGGTGCCGGATCGAGGGCAAAAACACTTAGCTCCTGAGGTGGACTGCGAAGAACATGCCCAAACCACCTCAGTCGTCTTTCTTGGATGACCTGGGTTATCCCTGCGATGTTGTCACAACGAGTGAGGACTGTCTCCTTTGAGACGAAGTCGGTATACTTCATACGGATGGTCCTCAGGCAGTGGTGGTCAGATACCTCCGGTTTTCGCTCGTCCGCCACGCGCACAGCCCAGCATTAACAGTCATAGAGAAGGACAGACCGGACGGGTGCACGGTACACGCGAATCTTGGTGGCGATGAGGGTGTCGCGTCGGATCCATAGACTTTCCCAAGGCTTGAGAAAACCCGGCGGGCGGCACCAGTTCGGGAGACGATGTCGTCCTCACTGCCCACTCGGCAGCAGACTCATCCCGATGTATTTAAGTGTCTACTTCTTCAAGCTGACAGCCATCAATCTCGAGAGGTGCCTTCTCCTGGTCAAGGATACAGCTTGAAAGCACTTTGGTCTTCTCAGCGCTTATCGATAGACCGACCGACTTAGCGACCTCGTTCACCCGTGTCACCATAGACTGTAGATCACCAACACTTGAAGCTGGCAGGGCGATGTCATCGGCATAGTCGAGATCAGTCAACCGGTGTCCGCGTGCGAACTCAACACTGTCACCTTCATGTAGGGCCCTCCCGAGAATTCTGTCAGTAGCGTATTTGAAGCGAATGGGCGACAGGATACAAACCCGTCGAACGCCTGACCGAATACCGAACGGATGGGAAATATTGTTATGAACCAGAACTCGCGCAGTGATGAGGGCAGTAATAGGCCTCGATCATGTCAATGATTTTTGGCGGTACACGATCTAGTGCCATTATCCGCTATAGGGACTCACGATGCCGCTAGAGATATAACCCTTCATAAAAAGCCCTAATAATAAAAAGTGTAGTATCGAGGGACTTAGATGGTTAACTCAACGTTGTGAAGAACACTGTGTGCAAGTTCTTTCTCTGATCAGGAGAAGACACCGAAATCAACCGTGAAGGGCCCAGCACGTTGAAGAACAATCTCGGCTACTTTTTATATGCATGAGGCGGCCTACCAACACGCCTCTGGCCATAGGCGAACTTCATACGCCCGCAGTTTGTAAGGAGTCCTTGCTCATATTTTCGTTTGGAAGTTAACTATGCATGAAAAGCTAGATAGTAAAGGCTGATGGGCATGAATAAAACACCTCCGACAGGATTCAAAACTGATGCACGTACAGCGACTAAAACAGCTAATGTTTGCCTTCAGCCCTATGCAGCTGGCGACGTACAAATGAGGAACTTAATAGCACCCATTAGCGTGCCTTATAACTCGACGTACAAGGGTTGGAGTCTATATCGGGCTTCTGCAGACGCAACAGCGAGCAGGAATTAAAACTACAAAACATCTTCAGAGACGGAATTGGAATTCTAAGCAGCCTTTAAAGGCCTCTCTCAGGGGTAATATACAGAGCATAAATTTCCACTCTTTACTGTCGGAATCAGACTAAGTTGTCGTACATCTTCATCGAAGGCGCACAGGACTGAGTTGTTCGCGAGACTATATCAGATGGGGTTGTATGTCAAAATCAGTGGAGTGACATTTCTGGTGTCTCAGTGAAGGAGTGACATTTCTGGTGTCTGTAAATCAAGCACACGATTTCTCACGCGTTCTGTGATCTAACGGAAACGATACTAGACAATTTGGCAACTAACTTGACAAAAAATTCGGAATATACAAGAGATTTGCGAATTTGACGAACTAGTATTAAACTCACACAGACGTCAGGGCATATAAGCATATGCGGTGCAAATTAGCGAGACCGATCGCAATGTAGCATGCATTTTGGGACTGTGTCGACTGTGAGGAACGAGGGCGAGGAAGTTTTTTTAGGAAGTAATTAGTAAAGTTTGCGCGAGTATGTGGAAGTCCGAGATCGTTGGTGGCGCTCAAAGATCGTCGAAAGATGCTGTTCGGAGTGCTGCGAGCTCAGGAGAACGGGACGAACGAAAGCAGTGGTACTCTTCGCCGACAGCTGTACTCCTATTTCAAAAACCCTCTATGTATGCGCATGCCCCGTTTTAGAAATTTAATCGAGTTATTCCAGACGGCTCCTCTACTCAGCCGCACAAACAGGGTCGAGTCTACTGATCAGAGACTGCCAAGTACTACATTTGTTGCTGAGGGAGTGCGAGATTTGATCAGCCGGCTGCCTTTGAGGTTTCATGCCGCCCCAACCCGCACTCTAAAGGTTAGCTGTCGTTAAACATAGCCCGACAGAAAACTACTGATGTAGACACAGGTAAGACCAGAGGCAAATGTGCTCGGGGGCCTGGAATAACTGAGTTCGAAAATGTCTGGTATATGTAGTCTGTCTACGGTCCTCTTTTATTACTTTCAAATTTTGCTGGGTGCAGCCAAAAAGTATAACGCAGTCCGACGTCATGGACGTGGACGTTCAGTGTTACATTGACAATTCCTTTTTCCAACTACGCGGGTTAGTCGTAATTCCATCGACGAAGGGTATACTTAGATCATATACTTCCTCGTTCGCGGCATTGTCAATTCGCTCCAGATAGTACGCCTTTTGTAATGAATTTTTCATTAATTAGAATGGTTAACGACTAATCTCCCAAAACAGATCGTTCCGGCGAGACTGGTGGCACACCAACCCGGCTCGCTAGTTGTGTATATTGACAGGGAAGAGAAAAAGGAAAAACCACCTCCGCATAATGAATCGAATGCCACAAAAAAACTTTAAGCCCTTACAGCAAAGCCGCCTGACTGGTGGTATTGGTAGATATTGGAGAAGAAGGCATCCAGATTATGGGTCTCGTCGAGTCGTAGGGTATTTGACTGCAGTACGCCAGAGGGCCCTGGAGTAACTGACACGTCATCATCCTTCAGTACTTCATACTGTCCTCTATCAGCAGACTGCATTTTAAATCCTACTCTGTCAGTAAGCTACGCCTTCAGAGGTTTCACAAGGCAAAAGGCATCAGCGGGGCATCAGCTGACTACCCACTGCATCAATTTGCACAAAATATGAGTGAGGCGAAAAAAGTCAAGCTAATTAAAATTCCGGTCTCAAGGCCATACTAATTCTCCAGCTCGAAACCGAAAACCGAAATGGTTGAGCCGTGATATACCCATCGGAATCGGTTTGCATGAATATTCAATTTGATCTAAATACAAAAGTATGTGGTAACTGACTATAGAGGCAGGTTCGTGATGGGAAGAATGGAAGGACATCCACTGCCAGCAGACCAGCGGTGTCCAAACTGACTGACCACTTTTTCGCACCACTGAGTAATTCTTTGGTTTAGGGTTAGCAAATGAAGGCTAAGCAAGACTGAACCCCCAAGTTTGCTTGTCCGCTCTAATTTAGTGGGTCATGACCCACTGCTGTCATCCGTCAGAACCCACACACTTCCGAAAACCGTGTCAGCCTATGCCCCCTGCATAGGTGCACTCTGATGGACGGACCAAGGCCCTAAAATAGGATGTAAGGGTCCAGATTTCAGGTAAGTAATTCGCAGCTATTTTCAACTGAAACATTATTTTCGAATACTAAGTACCTTTTATGTTTAGTTAAAAGTGATTTGTGGGCATATCTAACAGTCCCTTAGCACCCTTTTCGAAGAGGGTGGCACTTATCTGCTACCAGCCACGCGTCTGATTACTGCGTATTTCGTAGACATGCTAACCAGAAGGATGTTGTCATTTTGGCAGTTTGGCCATTCTCTTTACTGTCTATATGTTCGTCAATATGTATATGACGTGCATTACTCGATCACTGAAGACTGGGTAAGCCCTACCGACTGAATCGCAATTGCCATTTTCGAGAGGTTATCACTGGTATAGTTCTGGCTTCCTGCATATTTTCTACTGTTGTCCGTTCAAACTAACATCACAGAGCACTACTATAGCATGCATCGGAGCATCAAACATGACCGAACAGAGAGAGAGAGAGAGAGAGAGAGAGAGAGAGAGAGAGAGAGAGAGAGAGAGAGAGAGAGAGAGAGAGAGAGAGAGAGAGAATGAGAGAGAGAGAATTGCATAATATGCTGCGACCAGGGACTGCTCATTATGTTTAAGGACAAAAGGCACTGCCTATTAAGATTATATCGGAAGCAGTCACATTAAATCACTTCTTAGAGGGAATAAGGTTTTCGTCCCTGACCTCCCTATGTACATCGGAAAATAGTAATAGAATAAATTATTTCAGCATTAATTCCGGGAATTGTGAATTCATCAGCACTTGTAAGTCAGGCGTAAACTTCCGTCACTGACACAATCTTAATTTAAGGTACAGTGACTTCTGAAAAAATGAACATCAAGTTTTTACTTAAATGTTTTAATGGTTTCTGGAAGGACAACCGCGTCAGAGAATCCGTTCTATGCTCCAGCAATCCTCTGCAAGAAGGCATCACGTCGGAGGTCATATGGAAGAACGTCTTCTGCAATTTGAAGAGGTGACCGCGCAGACGGTCCGTTTAAACTTACTCGAAGAAGTCCTAACACCCTAGGGCGCACTCACGGCCTCTAGCAATCCCGTAGCCTTGAATGAAGTCGTCATGCACCTACCTGTAACTGAGAGGAAGCAAAGTAACTTCAGTCAGTCTGGCTTCATAAGGCAGGTGGCCAAGTTTCTTGGCCATCCCCGCAGCCCTCGCCCGTACTCGCTCCAAATGTTGATAATTCTCCTTGAGGCACAAACGCCGGGCGGGGACGGTAAACCCCAAGTGAGTCCGAGTGTATGCTCGAACAGTTCCTTGTTAATCTGTATGAATCTTGTCAGCGCAAACAGCACCTGTGTCGCTCGTTTAGCTACCTTTAGGTAATGGGACGATGGTATGATCGAGAGGTTAATAAAAACACCGAGGTATTTCTGCTTCACAAAATTTGGTAGGGTTTGGTCATATTGGAGGTGTCAGAAGGAATCATTCCCCCATTGGCCCCCATGATACGGAGTCTTATGCATTTTGAGTAGCAAGAAGGACATTTTTAGTCGAGCCCGTCACTGGAAACGGCTGGTCCGCAAAACAAAATTGGATCACAAGACGCATTACTGTCTACTATCCTCAGTCTAGGAGTCATCGATGCCTTCGTCGTACGATCAAAATCATTTTTTGCAAATCCGTGTCGTTCTGCTGGAAATCTAGACTTTGTCTACACATCTTGGTAATCCGAAATATTGTCTCAAAGTGCTTGAGGTAGTTTTGAAACAGCACGCATAAAAACATGCGTCAAAAATTTCCACACTGATTGCTGCGCTGCATAGGTTTGGACACTTACCATTTTACGGAAAATATCTTAGCTGAGAACGTCCACCATGCCTCGCATTCTCGAAATACTTCGACAAAACCTAAGCATACACACAGTTCCCCTAAATTTGGTCCTGGCAAGGTTTTCCTCTATCCCTGCGGTTTGTCATTTTTCCATAACTTCACGGCATGGTTGGAGTGCGCGCCGTCATCCAAGAAATTAGCAGTGTGCGGGATCAGTCCAACGACCACGTATTTACATGTCGACCGCGGTAACCCCCGACCACAACAGAACGGCAGCGGGCGCTATCACAAAGTGCTTTGATGGGACCTCTACGGGTCTTTAATAAAAAATTATCTATCTATCTATCTATCCATGAGTGTATAAATGCACAAAGTACAGGTAGAAGGCGCAGCGGATGTCACTTTTTTGCTGTCAAGGTCAACCATCCTGAGAAAGATATTTCAAAGATGAATACTCAGTTACAGTGCAGTTCAGACAAGGTTAACGACAAAAATCTACCTACTGGACCCGAAACCGGAATTAGGTCAAATAGACCCCGCATCATGGGTGCGTCAGCAATGCTTCCTGTAGTTATTACGGCAGCCCAAAAGCGAATAGTTAAAAGACCGGATAAAAATAGATAGGGAGAAAACCAAAAAACCCCACAGAGATCGAAACCAGACTGTAAACGGCCAAGGCAAACGGACGGCTTTCCTAGGAGATACATCTAAAAAAGCCCAAAGAAAGGCGTCAAAGACTGTCCCGCCCAAAGATGCAAACCCACTTTCCGTCAAATGAACTGAACTGAATTGAATGAACTTATCAAAATTAAAATTCAGGAGGCAACGAGTTGACCAGCTGCTGAGTCGGTTCAGTCAGTCCGCCAGTCAGTCATTTTATTTGTCGAACATAGGCCTATGCTTATGAAGTCCCTATTTGTACAGAAAAATTCTTAAAAATTGCAACAATACGAAGAGATTCAAGCAACAAGTAAATGCAGATACTGATTCATATGGGGCAATAGTTTTTTCTAGTTACAAAGTCAAATAGTCCTCTTGCTGGTGCAATAGGTGTCTATCCAGACGATGTTTAAATGTCTTCACAGACGGAGACGTTACAATCTCCTCTCGCAGATTATTCCACGGTTCCACGACACGGTTGGAGAAAAACCGCTTCCTCACATTCAATCTACCTTTAGGAAAATATAGTTTGAAGGGATGTCCCCGGAGGTTTTTGCCGTGGCAAGTTGAAAAAAGCCGTCACACCTGGGGGCGTAGTCCAAGCCACGCACGATACGAAAAGTTTGTATCAAATCGCCCCGCGACTGCCTATAATTCAGAGGATAGAGTTGAAGGTTATTCAGGCGGGTCTCATAAGGCAGTGCACCTTGACCTCTTATTAATTTTGTTGCTGGCCTCTGCATCCTTTCGAGCAGAGTGTAGTTCTGTGCGTCCACGGTCTCCAAGCCTGAATTGCATATTCGAGATGCGGCCTTACAAACGTGCCGAACACTTTAGAGAAGCAGTCTTCATCGAAGACTGCGAATGCCCGCTTGATTGAGTATAGCATTGAAGTTGCGGCCTTAGCCGCCTTACAACATTGTGTAGAAGGCTTTTGGATGTCTGCGACCCAGACTACGAGATCTTTCTGCGTTTTGCTTCTCGGAGTGGCCTTCAGTTCAGATGGTATCGTCGCGTATTAGGATTTGATTTCAGAGGCGCAGTATGGTGCATTTGTTTAAATTGAAGGACAAGAGACATCTGCGGGACCACTCGTCCAATCGACAAAGATTTTCTTGGAATTTGGTCTCGTCGGCAGCATTCTGGATGACTTTCCAGATTGCTATGTATTCTGCAAACATGGCATTATCACAACCCAACCCATCTACACAATCGTAGAGGAACAAGAGAAAGAGGGTTGGTCCGATCACTGAGCCTTGTGGGACTCCACTCTCTGTGAATGTGCGCCTTGATTGCTGTTGCTCCAGGCAGACAATTTGGAAACGGCCGACGGGAAATTCTCGATCCGTTTGAGACGTCTGCCGCCGATGCCCATGACTCTCAACTTTTAAAGGAGGCGCTGGTGCGAACACTGTTGAACGCCTCCCGGAAATCGACATAGACTTGCAGCAGCTGAGCGGTGAAGGTGTACGCTCAGTGCGCCACAACTTCAGGTCATATCACAAGTTGTTTGAAGCGGGACGCCAGTTGAAGAGGAAAATGATTTATTTGTTCTGTACAGAATAGTGAAGGGAAGTTGGTAACCGAACGAGGATGCGTCCGTCGCCGCGGAGGCGGCGCCTGCAAGGGCGACGAGCCGTGTGACGCCGAAGGTCGCCGCTGGAAAAGTGTCGTGTAGATTGTTTACTCTATTGTTCTGGACTGTTTCCGCCTGTCTTACCAATCAGCGATAGGAGTTGCGTTGATTGGCTCCGAGTCCACGCGAAGGTAATGAAAAGCCTCGCGTGGTGCAGGCAGAGAATCGACCGAATGCGTGGTACAGACAGTGAACTGCAACGAGACAAATCGAAGCCGGGCAGACGTGCGTGCCATAGCAGGCTGTCGCTAGAACGTAGGTGCAGGCGCTAGCGAGAGGCGCGACGTAGCCATTATGGCTGTCCACTACAGACCACATTCACAGCGTGTTTTGCATCGAGTGCTCTTGTCCAG